TCTTTTGAGAATGTTTGACACTATTGTATTTTCATTGCCTTGATATTAAACCTCTGGGAAGTTAGCACCTCATTTTTTTTTAAATAAATTTTTCGATACAGTTCTGAGTGCATCTCAAAGAGTTCCAGAGTTCCTGCATAAAATTAAAAATAGTTCCGGCGAATTAAGCAAAAAAATCTAATAAAAAAGTTTTGGGGTGCCAACTTCACAAAAAACAAAAAGAAAATTTGAGATAACTCCTCAACCGTTAATACTAGAGCTTTGTGTATTAAGAACTTTTGTTAGAACTCTTGAGGTGCTACTCAGAACTGTCGACAGAACTGCCGGAACTGTTAAAAATTTTTTTGCTCTCGAGTGATAGAAAAAATTTTTAACAGTTCCGGAAGTTCTGTCGACAATTCTGGGTAGCACCCCAAGAGTTCTAACAAAAGTTCTTATCACTCGAAGCCGTGAAATTAATATCAAAAAAGATATCGCGATTTTTCGTTTCACGGATCGAAAAAGGACCCCACAAGAATCTTATGAAAAATGGGTTTCGGTCAAATTAGCTGAAACTGTGCTATTTTGTAGTTTTATTCATGCCGATCAAAAGTCTCCATGGGCCGAAACCATGAAAATGAACAGTTTTTTTGCTACGGCATCCTGAACATGACGATTATTGCGTTTATGTATGGGCTATTCCACGTGAAGCGGATCAGTCATATCTCAGAAATTTTTTTAATTTTGCACAAAGGTAGTACTTTGGGAGACAGAATTTTGTGCCAAAGAATTTTTTTCTTATTGCAAAATTAATCGAGATATAAACAATTAAAAATTAGACTACTTTATTTTTCAAAAATTCATAGCTCTGTTACTAATAATGCTAGCTAACTGCTTTTTTTTCAAAATACGCAAAAAATATTCTAGTTTACGACAACAAAATGAAGATTCTAAAAATAAAATGGTCATTTTTGCTTCAATGTTGAATAACTCGGTGAAAAAAAATCGCACATTGCTGAACGGGTGCTGAAATTAAAGCTAAAGATTTACGCTTTCGAACGATGTAAACCTCATTTGCGTGCAATTTTTTAGTTTAGT